AAAAAATAAATAAATAAATAAAATAAAATAAAATAAAAAGTAAAAACCTACTAGAAAGCACCAAAACCTAAAACAAACAAACAAAAAGGCAGATCTGCGGGCGCGAGACCGTGCCCGTGCCCGGCGGCTGCAGTGTGGCTTGGCCAGTGCCGGGGCGTGATCCCTGAGGCCCCCCGGCGGTTTCTTTGGGGATTGCTTGGGGTCTTCCAGACTTCGAAACTTGGTTGAGGAGAATTGATTGGCGATCGAACAAAGGCTTTTCAGGGTTCAACTTGGGATTCGTGCGGCTTCGTACGGGTTTGCTTTGGGTTCTGCAAGTGGTGCTGTAGGGCGCCGCGTAGATTTACAAGGCTGTATGTCTTTATATACAAGGAATATACTTTTTCGGGGTTAAGGCTTTTGAGGCTTAGAATGTGGGGCTTTAATCCCAAGAGCGATTTGACATTCAGGAGGGTTTGACCTAGGCTCTAAGTTTTGATATAGGCAGCTTCGGGCTCAGGTTTAGGGATTTGAGGTTGACAAGAGCTTGTGGAAAAGGGTTCTGGTAGACGACGGCTTACGAGTGCGCTTCTGATACACCATCCAGCCTTAGAGCCAGAAAGTCCAAAAACCTTCAACGGCCCATTGCAGTGGCCTCCTGCCGTACGCCTGATTGCGTCGTCCCCGGACGAGAAGCCTCGCAAAGCAATCCTACTGACTTTCACTCGGGCAGCAGATCATCGTGTAACATGCCCTCGCCGAACAGAACTAGCTTGACAACAACGCATAGTGGGAGGTAGTATCCGAGGGTAAAGATTCCTTGGAGGAGCGCGACTGCATCTGACTCGTTCTCATCGTCTAATCATCTCCCTACAAACGGGTGATGGGAGGAGCAAGCCCCAGCCAGTGCTCTCATAAGAACAAGGCATTGTCCGAGAAAACCACACCCTTGACAGCTTCTTTGAGGCCGTACTTGGACACAAAATTACCCTCATCAGTGGGCCCTGTACTTGGGGGTAAGTTGGTCTAGGCCATCTTGTTGCTGCTGCTGCTTTGATGATGTTACCTAAATCCTAAGTCGAAGCTGCATGAAACTCAGAAGTCCAATTTCCCTGCAGCAAGACTGGTCCTGATACAACATAAAACTACTGAGCTTCGCAATGTGTGGGATAGTTTGGGATTAGGGTTCGACAATTTGTGGGTCGGCCAGACCGAACCCAGATGCAAGAGGAAATCTTCGGCTCCTCGACAACAACTACACTTAACCGATCAGAAGCTAACGGAGCTGTTCTGAACAAGGGGCAAGCAACATGGTACCTGCTGACAAGTTAGCAGCTTATTTTGAGTCAGGCCTAAGGTGAAGAGCTAGAGAAACACATGCCCCGAAGCATCGTGGATTCAGACTGGATGAGGGTGTTGCATCGGGTTGAGGATGTAGAATGGCTCAACACTTGAACACCTCTATGAGCTGCTGCAACAAGAGTCAAAACATGATGACATCCGTGTAAAGTACAGAAGCAGGATGGTGACATTTGTACCACTGCTCATCTGAGCTGCAACGTCTTAAAACTCACAAGCAGCACTTATAATGGTTGCAACAACTAATACGCGCAGCAGTGGCTATAGCAATGACATAGAAAGAAATAACACTGCTAGCACGAATAGCCTAAGCCCGATAGACTCTTTGTACCCTTAAAGACTCGAACCAACACCCGTATAACGATGACTATCGTGACTACGAAAATCAAATCCGAAAGCCATGCGCAGACACAAAATATCACAGAAACAGCAAGACAATCACACTCACAGACACACACACACAAGAAGACAACGACATCTGTAAAGATCAAAAATGAAGATCTTAAAGCCAGAACGAAAAACTCTTTTTTTCTCTATCTCTCTCTCTCTCTCACACACACAAGCCCGCGCCTCTTGTCGCGTTCCCGGCCGCGACCGAGAGCGAGATTGTTGAGTCCCTGGTCGGCTGGCCTGGGAAATACAGGAACCTTAACTAGAATAGGATTTCAGGATATACTGCAGCTATATGGGAAGACTATAACAGTACTTCGTTTAACCAGAAGGTGTGAATTGTCTGCTTTAACAATTTTGGCTGGGGATTTGGGGTGTAACGGCTCTTGTGTGTGTGTGTGTGTGTTTGTTTTGGGGGCTTCAGTGTCGGGATCGAGGATGTTGTTTGGCGTTTGGGGTTGTAAGTTTGAGGTTTGATCGGTGGTTGACTTGAAGCTTCAGGGCGTTAGGGTTGTAAATTTGAGGTTTGGCCGTTGTTGTTTCGAAGTGTCAGGTTTTTCGTACTTTCCATGTGAGTCTTAGGGCTTTCAGGGTTGCAGGTTTGCAAATTTCACTTTGGGATTGGGGCTGCAGGCTTGCTTTTCTACAAGTATGGATCCAGTCTTCAGGGTGGGAAGTTTAGGGCTTAGGGTTTAAAACTATGTGGTGATGTCAAGGTTCAAATTCTTCGGTTCCCAGTAGTCTCGGCTTTTATAGTTCAGGTCTATGGCTGTCCAATAGTTACCTAAAAAAACCCTAAACCCTAAACCCTAAACCCTAAACCAAATGCGGCTACGAAATTCAGGGTGTAAGGTCCAGGGGTGCACAATAGCAACGAGTAGCTGCATTCAACCCTTGAGAGGCATGAACGAGATGACAGTAAACAGAAGGGTAATGCCAAGAAGCAAAACCATCAACGCAAACAGAAGTAGGCATTAACGAACCAAGCTCGCCAACCTAAACCCCAAAGTCCTTGATTCCCCTAGCAAAAAGCACCATAAAGATCTGCAAATCCACAATCCCCTCAACCCTAAACCCTAAACCTTAAACCCTAAACCCTAAACCCTAAACCGTGGAAAGGCCGCAAGAACCGTTCAGTCCCAGAGCTGGCTCTGAGGCCAGCACTGAAGGAGAACCGGCTGGCATGTCTTGACCTCGGAGCGGGTCATCCACAATTTCAAGGGCTACCTGAACTTGATGGAATTGGTACTGTATGTGACCCATAAACACGGAGGCTATACTGCTATAATTACGGCAAGGTAGGTAGGTGCCGTAGATTCCGAACAGGGTGCAGAATCTAGGATTTACGGCTTCTTTGGGCTTTGCACTCTTGGTGCCTACTTCCTCCTGGAGGCTTGTTCGGCTTCGGGGCCGAGGATCTCAACTTGGAGAAAGCTTCAAGGCTTCCTTATAAAGGGGCCGTTGACCGTGGATTTCGGGGTCAGAGTGAGCACTCTGGCTGCAAGGCCCTGAAGCTAAAGCTCTACAGGGAAAGCGATATGACCGGCAGCTGAAGAGCCGCGGTGCAGGGTCAGAAGGAATCACGATGCGACAGCAAGAATGGCAAATGACGAGCAGGATAGCAGTGGCTCAGACTACTTATCAGGTTCGCATCTAGAGGCGACGACATAATTATGGACTGCCTTCCGGGCTCGCCACCCAGTTGTTGTATCAGGGTCTCGGACTCATTCAGGTGTATGGGAAACAGTGCAACTCACGGCTCCTAGGTTTCGTTATCCTGAGCCATTCGACTTGAGAGATTGCTTACTAAGCTTCTCGAGGATCTTCTTGCCGCAACTTTATTTCATGGGTTTGGTGTTTGCTGTTCCTCAAGCCCTGCGTTTCGAAATCGGGAATGCCTCGTCAAACTCCAAATCATCCAAACCAGCAGATCCAATGACACCCTAAATCGTGAACCGATTGCACGACCCCCCCTCCCTTCGAACAGACATGTGTATATATATATATATATATATATGTATATGCCTCACTGCAGTTGAGTTGCTGCCTTCAAAAGCGCGGATCTGCGCCTAAGGCTGCTTACCATGTTGGAGGTTCACTGTCTCTCAGCCCTCAGGTGTTGTGGTTTAGGGGTTTGAGCCCTAAGCTCGCGAACCTTATGACTGACCTCTGCAGGCTCAAGGTCTTTAAACCGCGATTATTTTAATCTAGAGCGTATACATGGTTTCCTACCAAGCAGTTTGGATAAGGCTCAGCTCCTGAAACCACGGTGCTCCAGAGCCCTAAACCGTAGGATTCTCGGTTTGAAGGTTGAGTTGAGTGCTTAGGGCCATCACACCAGCAAGTCAACTCGCTACCCATGAACCCAACAAGGTTTGAAATCTGTGAGGTTTCAGATGTGCGAGTGTGTGACTGTGTGTGTGTCTGTCTGTCTGTCT